ATGCAACAATCTGCAACTCAGCAACAACCGCGTCACAATAATCTAGCGTACAGCAACAACATCAACAACAACAATGACATTAACTGCGACAACGTTGATGAGGGAAATACAACATCGCGACTTACAAACATTTACAAAAACAACAGCAACAACAAACTACATTCAACTGATACCATAAAACAACAACAACAATCTGCCGATGATGAAGAAGAAGATTTTTATTTGAATTCAAGTTACAACAAACTGAACAGGTTGTTAAGCAGGGACGCCAGAAACAAGACAAAGCCGACCAACTTTCTGGCGTCCTATTACGACGGACCAACATTTCAACATGTCATCGATAAAAATTTAGTCAACCTACCATTGCAGAAAATGAACAGACCAAGCATCATAAACTGCAGCAACAACACCAACACAAATAACAACGACAACGCTGTCAGCCACAAACAAACTGATTTGTTCAGCTGCAGCGACAGCAATATTAAAACTTTGACCAACAACAATTACAGAGAAGATTCTTACAAAACGGACAAGTCACATAATTTAAGTCGTGAATATCTCTCAGGCGATGCTGCCAATAAACAGCCCGCTAAACCATTCCATATGCAACTGACATCCAAGGACGGTTTCCTGGAAAACCAAACCAGGAGCAACGACACCACTCAAAGTATCGACCCTAAATATGCTAATATCAAGAACAACAACTTAGATCAGATGATGTCAACAACATCGTCAACATCGTCACAGGCAACGACAAAAAGTTATGAAGCAGATCAGTCAGAAGAATCCAGCGCTCTCAATTTCACAAACGTAAAACTGGCAGCCATGCAGAACACTGGAGTTGCCGTGGCGCAGTTCAATGGCGGCTCGCTAACTCCCCCAGCACCCCCTCATCCCCACCCTCATCAACTACAGAATTATTTCTCCCATTTACAAAATCAAGAACAGAACTTTCCAAAAACTGTAAGCGATGGTGACAACAACATCACCCCCACCACCAACAACAACAACATCATCCCCACCACCAGCAACAAAACGTCTTTGACGAAACCTCCGCCACCATTCAACATGTTCAACACGGTCCTCTGGAGTCTGCAGCAGCAGCAGCAGCAACTCTATCAGATGCAAATGTTGCATAAATTAAGCAGACAGTTTGATTGCAAGGGCGCCATCACAAATGATCATCATTACCAGCCCCTCCATCATCTTCATCATCAGCAACATCATCCGCATCAATTTCCAAGCAGCCACTTTCCAATTCCTCGCCCAAATGATTCGGCCAACATCCAATCACTGAATTATTTCAACGGCAAACTCAATGGAGTTCCTCCAGTTTCGGCAGCATTAGATGCCGCTTACAACAAGAACGACAACTACACGATGAATGACGTCAAGGTCGACAAAACCAACAGTAGCGACGTCACAAAATGCGTTGTTGACAACAACAACAACAACAACTTTCATAAAAGTGATGACTCCGATGGGATCATCAAACCAAGCAACAATAACGGCGAAACTGACAATCCCATCATTAGCAAGAGCGTTCGGATAGATAGCGGGAACGCAAGCCCCACAAAATGCATTATGAAGGAGGCTTATGAAGCTGCCAGAAGCGATGATATCGTCTCCAAATACATCAACCCGTCGTTCGCGATGCCACAGCAAACAACATTCAGCAACTTTTCGTCATCATCATCATCCTCTTTTTTATCATCTTCATCGTCATTAACATCATCATCGTCTTCAACATTATCATTGTCTAATTCTTCATTTTTCAACACTTCATCGTTGTCATCTTCACTGTCAACATCATCGTTGTCGTCCTCGTCATCACTGTCCACACTGACATCATTATCATCATCATCAGCACTCTCATCATCGTCATCATCATCATCATCATTCATATCACCCATGCTGGCCATGATTGATATGTCGTCGACCAGATTGCTTCAGCAGAAAATCCTGCAAGACAGTAAGTTCACTTTTAGTTCACTACACCTTCAAATTATTTGCCGCTTATTTTTGGTTTTCAATTTTGTTTAGTGTCAGCGTTTTCGTTAAACATATTAATATGAGTATTAATTTTAACAAAAATATTGAAATATAAAAATGAAATATAAATATTAATATAAAACTGTTTGATAGCGGTATGGTTAATTATTATTAATCATTGATAGCTGTCGTCAATGGATTTCCATTGTAATCAAATCAATTTGCAATAAAATTCATAACCTCCAAAAAATTAATTTGAAGGCTGCTTATTAAATAGAAACTTGAAATCGACAAAAAGCATCGGAATCTGTATTCAACGAAGTTCTCCTTCCATTAGTTTATCATGCAAATTGCATTGGTGTTATTAGTTTTAAGGTATAAACTTCAACATTTCAAACAATTAAAAAAATTATGCGAAACCTTGTCGCATTAAAAGAAGATAATGTATCGAAAAACTGTTTGTATTTTTGTTGGTGTTAATTCGTAGAATGTTCATTAACCTTTAATATATGGAAATACACACACACACACACAAAGCATATTTATAAATACACGCATATAATATATATTTACATCTAGACAAACACACACAAACACACACATGATGACGTTTACAAGGTAAGGATAAATAATAGGTAGAAGATATAAATTGAGAGATGTTAACTTCAAAATTCCTTTCCAAATTTTGAGTTGTATGGCAACAACAGCAGCAGCAGCAGCAGATCAACCCACATAAAGATATTGAAGGCACATGTGTACGTCAACATTTCCCTTACAAAGGTCGTGCCCTTCCTAATGAAAACAAAACCTACGAGAATAAACTACATCAATTTTCAGATGCATGTTAGCGGTCCTGTTGTTACTTTAAGACGAATAAACGAAATGTATTATTTATTTAAAAAGAATAAAATTGTTGAATGGCGATAAAAATAGGTTGAAACTTAGTCAAAATTTTCTTAAATCATGTTTGAAAGAAAGATAACTTTTTTTTATTGTTTATTTAGTTTGTTTTTTGTTTGTTCGTTCGTTCGTTTATTTATTTATTTGGTTGTTTAATATTTAACTGTTTTCAGTAAAAGATAAGCTTTAATTACAGAAGATTTATAAAAAGTAACTATTTTATAAAATAAAAATGATATTTAGGCAACTAGTTTGTAACGATTTCAACAGGACTTATGATACACTGTTTAGAGAATCGCTATCACATATTTTAGAAGTGAAGAATTCAGCGAATATTAAGAAAAATACTGTCATAAGAGTTTTAAATATTGTAAATAATGTGAGTAAACATAGTAAACATTTATTTGTAACGTGAAATATTGTATAAAATATTCATACAAATTCAGTAAACATACAAATATAGTAAGCATGCAAATTCAACAAACATACAAAGATAGTAAACATACAAATACAGTAAACCCACAAATTTTGTAAACTTACAAATACAGTAAACATACAAATATAATAGACATGCAAATTCAGTAAACATACAAATATTGTAAACATACAAATATTGTAAACATACAAACATTGTAAACATGCACATGGTGTAAAGATGTAGGTGATGTAAAGATTGGAGTAATGTAAACAGTGAAATTTGGCAATGAGACGATCAAAGAAGATGAGAATCATTAGCAAATATGTTACGTTAACTGATGATGCCGAAGTTTGTTTGCTTGTGCGTGTGTGTGTTCCTCCACCATGATCTTCATTTTCATCATCATTATCATTTTCATCATTCTCATCATCATCTTATTAATCATCACCATCTTCAAACCATTATTCTCTTCATATTCATTTTCATCATCATCATCTTCATATCACCTTCATCATCATCACCTTCATCATCATCACCATCATCATCATCATCACCATCATCACCACCATCAACATCACCACCATCATCATCACCACCATCATCATCTTGTTTTTATCATCATCATCACCTTCATCATCACCAACATCATCACCATCATCATTATCACCTTCATCATCACCACCGTCATCATCTCGTCTTTATCATCATCATCATCACCACCATCATCATCATCACCACCATCATCATCACCACCATCATCATCTTGTTTTTATCATCACCATCATCATCATCACTTTCATCATCGCCACCATCATCACCTTCATCATCATCACCACCTTCATCATCATCCCCACCATCATCATCATCATCTCGTCTTTATCATGTAACTTCTTAAAGGTCATTGAATGATGGATTGACTCATCAAATTATTGACAAATATTCCGACAGAGGTTATACAAACACACACACACACGCACGCACACAACATGAGGGCTTAATTTGTATATGTGATACCTACCTACATACATACACATATTTTCAAATGATTGTGTATATGTAAATGTATATATATACTTCTATATACATACATATACTTATATATATATTTGTTTATTATACATCTATAAGAAGGCAAAATTGTACGGCCTGTGTGTGTGTGTGTACGTCGGTAATACTGGTCAGAGAAGAATGCGAGCGAACACTTGACTTATGATGCTTACGTGATCCGGCATTCATTAATGTGGGAAAATGGAAATATTCATACAGATCCAATGGGCTGTACACGCACTCTCTCTCTCTCTCTCTCTCTCCTCCTCCTCTCTCTCTTTCTCTTCTTTCTCTCCCTCTCTTTCTCTCTCTCTCTTTCTTTATTTTTCTCTCTCTCTCTATCTCTCTCTCTCTCTATATATATATATATATAATAAACGATTTGCACCAGTGTATATAAATATATACATATTCATATATATATATATATATATATATATATATATGAATATAGAAATATCTCGTTTCTCCGTCAAACATAAATGCCGATCTCTACGAATGCAAACGTGTGGGTATTTTTGAGAGCTCATGTGGATGGTCATTTAAGAAAGTTTCCATAATATGTACTATTGATCCTCCACGAACGAACAACAAACATTCACCGACACGTTTTTGTATGCGAGAATTCAAATAATAATTTGCACACATAAACAGCTACACATATTCTTACATGAAACACGCGTGCACACATACTCACAGGTACACACACATATATGTATATATAATATATACATGCACGTACATACACACATACAAACTCACGCGCGCACACACACACACATGCATATACAGATACATATATGCATGCATATTTCAACAGTCATTGAAGCATTATAGTGAAAAGGATGAAGTTTTGTATACATTAAGATTCGTAGTAACCTCGTAAATCACGATATTCTTAAGTTGTTCGGCCGTCATCATAGCCATGAAATTATGCTACAAATGCTTTTTTCGTTATTTATAATTTTTCCGTCTATCCATCCACACATAGAAGCAACTAACTACTTAAAAATAACATTAGCATTCATTCATTAATTGATACAGCGGCACAAATTTCAGCTTTCATTTTTAAAAACTCCTGTTGTTTGTTTTTAAAAAAAAAGTTGGTTTGAAGTGTGTGTTCGTGTGTTGTGTGTGTGCTGTGTGAGTGTGTATGTGTGCTGTGTGTACTGTGTCCGTGTGTGTTTGTGAGCGTGTTGTTTACACAATTTGGCAATATTTAAGATTACTTGCGAATATGCATGAATGGAATACATTTAAATATTTTATACACAAATGAACTTACGTGTTATTATAACATATAGCAGTACTAATTTAATTGTATATGTAAGTATGTGAAACTTTAAACAAGTGCGTGCCTGTGTGTGTGTGTGTGTATGCGTGCCTGTGTGTGTGTGTCGGTGCGTGTATTGTTATTTGCGTGCGATGATAACAAAATATGTTACACTTCACATTTAATCGGTCGTTCTTTTATTTTCAGAAATTAAATGCTCGATAAGGGAGGAAGGAATTTAATTTCTACAGCAATGAAAAGAAACACATTTTTTCATTTGGCCATCCATCCATCCATCCATCCATCCATCCATCCATCCATCCATCCATCCATCCATCCATCCATCCATCCATCCATCCATCCATCCATCCATCCATCTATTCATTCATTTCTATACTGCCATCTATTGACAATTTTCAATAACAACGACACCAATTACTGTCGTTTTTGTGGACGCTACTAGTGCACTTACTACCACGAGCCATGCTATTTACTATTACTTCTACTACTGAAACATCAACAAATTTTTACCACGAATGTTACTAAACAAAGAACTATTAAAAATACCGATACTTTTACTACTACTTGTAGTACGACTACCATGGCTGCTACTGCTACTCTACTACTACTACTACCTCTACTACTACAACTGATACTACTACTACTACTACTACTACTACTACTACTATTATTACTATTACTACTACAGCTGCTCTACTACTACTACTACTACTACTACTACTACAACTACTACTACAACAACTACTACTACTACTATCACTACTACTATTACTACTACTACTACGACTACTTCTACTACTGCTAATACTCCTGTAATTACCAACTACTAATACCTAATTGGTCAATACTACATCGTTAAGACCACAGCCACTAATATGATCGATTTTAAATAATTGGTAGCCATGTTTTCGTCCCGCCCATGTGCCTCAGCGTAATATTTATGAACTGATGATATCATCATTCATCATTTTGTTGCTGTCATCATTGTTATTATTGTTATTGTCATCATTGTTATCGCTGTTATGTCTTTGCTATTGATGTTACAATTTATTAACTGTGAAAACAACAGTTTGATTTAATTATTATTATTATTATCATCATTATTTTTATTACTGTTATTGATGCTTTTGTTTGTGTTGTCATCATTATTATTACATATACGTACGTACATGCGTGAAAAAAAGATTTATTCAACATTAAGACAACCCTAACCGGCTGGTTCTCAACGTAGCCTGTTGTTTGCCGTGATAGTTCTGGCGCGCAGGCGAGCTTGTTATCAAGTCAATCAAAGAAAGCAATAATTTTAGATTTGTTGGCTTTATGTGGCACTCCACACATTAGTGACGGATCTGTTGAAGGACGGGGGGTTATTTGTGTGGAAAGTTAGTAAAAGTCGTTGTTTTAACGGTAAAAGGGGTGTCTTTGAATAAAATTGGGCATTATGAGCCTATTAGCAGAAAGATTGGCCTTCCGTCAAAACGTTGGCTACCTCCGTGACCACAGAAAAATTTTCAAAACAACTTTGTAAAGATGCCCCCTTCCTCGATCATAGGCTTATTTTTTTGAAAATTCCCAATTCCCCTTCCCGATCGCGCCAACTCTTCAGAAAATTCCCTCCTTCCGGTCGTCAAGGTTTTGTCGAAAATCATCATCGACTTTTTTTTTAAATTTCCCCACCAGTCATCAACTTTTCAAAAAACTCACCTCTTTCCAGTTGTCAAATATTTTTTTGAAATCTTGCCTTCACCCTCCGTCATAGTTGTCCGCCACAGCCACACATACATACACACACATACATACACATACTCATACTTACACACACTTACACAAACGCACCACACACACACATGACGATGATGATAACGATGACAACGATAAAAATGGTGATAGTGATGATTATAATAAAAAAAGAATCATGGTGATAACGATGATGATGATCAAGCTGATGACGACGACGACGACGATGAACCTTCTGGAATATGAAGCTGAGAGACGGACGGATGACTTGAGTGGATGAAAAATGACGAAACGACAGATGAGATGAAGGAATGTGCAGAGATTAAAAGGGCAATCATGGATGAGCAAAGATCACGTGATGTTGTAGGGGGTAGAGGTGGGGTGGGGGGGTGCATTTATATTGCGTAGAAATTCATTTATTACTTGGTTATTCAATTTGTAACAGATGTGTTATTACTTCTATTATCATCAGTTGCATTGTTGTTGTTATTGTTGTTGCTGTTACTATTATTATTATTATTATTATTATTATTATTATTATTATTATTATTATTATAATCATTATTAGCAATGATCTTTTTGTTGTCCTTGTTAATGTTAAACTTGGCTAAAATGATGTTTTTGTTGGTATTATTATCAGCGTTTTTATATTTTATAATATCAAAAAATTCGTTTTGCTGTAAAATCCTATAATAATAATATTATTATTATTTTGAAAATTATTATTATTTTATTGTCGTTATGTTATTTTTGTTGCTTCTTGTGTTATTGAACCTGCAACTATTTTTCTTTTACATCAACACTATTTGAGCATACATTCATGCAAATCGTTTCAACACTCTCCAGCACATATGAACGATAAATGGTTATTACATACAAGTACCAGCAGGAAGGCTTATGCTTAACAATTTATGTCTGTTTATTCATGAACATATGTGTATACGCACGTGTATATATGTGTGTGTGTGTGTGTGTGTGTAGGTGTGTGGGTGGGTGTGTCCGTATAAATTTCTACGCGTGTTACGAGAGTAAGTTTCTCACGTTATTATTTTGAACTCGAGCAAGATGAGCTCTTCATTGGCCTCTAATTTATTGCCCCCCATGAACGTTAATACCGTTTTTGATTTCGTTCACTATTATCAGTACGATATATTACGGTAATAAAAATTGTGTTGGTAATTTTTTTTATTTTTCTTCTTGTTAAATGAAATTGTTCTCAAAGTTAGTTTGAAATATTTTTGAAAAACATAATTTTCAAAAATAATAAATAAAATTTTATCTTGAAATGGAATTTTTAAAAACTCTGATACAGACAAGCCAACGTTGATAAGTGCAGTGACGTCATCGACATCACGTGGCAGACCTGAGGACCAGTACTTGAAGCACAGATGCAGATTTTGTCAGAAAGGCTTCAGCAGTGACAGCGCCCTTCAAATCCATATTAGGTCGCACACAGGTGAGATAATATTTCTAAACTTCATTTTTTTATATATTTTTAAAGTCTATACAATTGTTAGCACTGTTCATGTATATATATATATATTCATAACCAATTTGTCCAACAGTTCACTCACAATAATAATGCCAGTTTTTCTTATTTGTTTTTCAAAACAGGAGAGCGCCCGTACAAGTGTAGCGTGTGTGGAAACAGATTTAGCACAAAAGGAAATTTAAAAGTTCATTTTATGTGTCACACCGAAAAGTATCCATACATACCTTCAACGGTTTCAACGAATTCTAAAACAACAAGTGGACAACAGCAAAGTCGAACCTCTAGGCCCTCCAATAAATCAACAAATCAGTCTAAATCTTCTCCAAAACTAACATTATGCAATCCGTCAAAAGATGACAAGCAGTTGAAAAGTTCTGCTCCTCCATTTCCACCACCTCCTCTACTTCCCACGTTCACATTGACTCAGCAGCAAGCCAGCCAAATTTTTAATGATGACAAAAGCATACCTTCTCCATTTCTGAAAAACTCTCGTCAGTTTCATGATAATGCATCCAAGCATTTGTCGGAATTCAGTTACGATTTTCAGAACCGAAATTCTTCAGATTCCTCTAAATTACCACAGGCAAATTCGTGGAATGCTACTAATCAGCAACCGCATCCACAGCTTTCTCCCAATGTTCGTTTGTTTGAATTTGTTGATAGACCGTCAGATGACAAGAAAAATTCTTTTACTTGTAAACAAGAGTGTCATTCGCCAACCAATGAAACTGCAGAAAAAAATGACAACGAAACTGAAATGAATGACGCCATTAATAATAACAGCCCTCACAGTAACAGCAATAACAAAAGTGCGAATGACCAAATTGATGATCGTGATTTTTCAGCAATGACACTATCAAATCTTAACAAAAGTGATACAATTGAATACGTAGAAAATGACAATAGCAAGGATAACGATTTTAATTCAGATTATAAAGTATCAGATCATTCGCAACAAGACAAATTAACTGATTTTGAAAGCGACGACTCAAACTGCAACAGTCAAAAATTTAAAAATGACCAACCATCATCGGTGGAATGCACTAAAACAATCGCAAACAATTTTTCAACCCCAGTATTTAATTCTTTTTCAGGATTTTTACCACATAGATTCACTAGTTTTCCAAATTCACCCATTTTAAACAATTCACCACAATCATTATTTGTTCCATTTGGACTGCCAAGATATCCTTATTTATTTCGACCAAGCCTCTCAGGCTCTATTAACGACAGCGCACCGTGTACAGGAGCAAGTGGAAAAATTGTAGATGACCCGATGGAACAGTTCATGGAAGTTCAGAAAACTTCAGAAACAAATAAGATGGAAAATTTAGTTCGGAGTATAAATAAAAAGTTGACAGATCCCAATCAGTGCGGTATTTGCATGCGAACGCTGAGTTGCAAGAGCGCCCTTCAGATGCACTACAGAACACACACAGGCGAACGACCTTTCAGATGCAAGATATGTGGCCGAGCGTTCACGACCAAAGGCAACTTAAAAACCCACATGGGGGTGCACAGAGCCAAGCCCCCAGTCCGAATGCTCCATCAATGTCCAATTTGTCACAAACAGTTTACAAATGCACTGGTGTTGCAACAACATGTGAGGATGCACTCTAGTGCCGACACTAGCACAGCACAACCTCCTTCTTTCATTCCAAGCAACAATAGTTCCTCCCATCAAAAACTCATCAACGGATCTGGCATTACATCGCTGCAGCGTAATTTCATGATGTTCCAATCTCAACCAAACGTTATTTCTTACCCTTCGTTATCAAACAACGCCTGCCTGCAGTACCCACCCATATTCGGAATGTCTCCAGTAAGACGACCACCGATGTTTGTTCCTTTCCCAGCTTTCTTCAACGGGTTTAATTTTTTGTCGAACCACAAACCTGACGTGCATAAGTTTTCTAACAATGAAATAAAAATTAAAAAAGAAAATGACGTAAATGATGATGAAACAAAAATCATTAACAAAGACTTATATGGTGACAACTCTAGAAAAGAAGAACGCATAGATGACAACAGCACTCATAATGATGGCGCAATCGCTGACTCGACTAACGTACAGTTTTTGCGTAATAATGAAAACAATGCTAGCAGTGTTGATGGTGATGATGACATGGAACCTGAAGACGAAAATAACGATGAAGATGATAACAGTAGTAACAAAAAATTCAAAAATATTAACGACAACAGCGGAATCATCAGCACTAGAGACAGCAATTCAACAACAGATAATAATGATAACACAAATTTTCTTGCGGATATTGAAGAAAACAACGTTAACAAGGATGATAACAATAATATTATAACCAGGTCAGACTTGAACCCGATCGAAAATGAAATTAATTTAAACAAAATGTCAAAGGAAAATGTTTTTAATAAGCAGTTGTTTAATTTTTCAAACTTTGCCGCTGCCGACAGCGATTGTGACAATGCAAAATTGAATCACTGTGACGATACAAGCTCAATAAAAGAAAATCAAGCAAACGTGGTGAACATTAAATACGAACAAGATTTTACTAAATCTAGCAGCAAACAAGAAGCAATGGATACTTTTAATAAATCACTATCACCTCTGAATTTGGGGCCATCTCAACTGAAGGGAAATTTTTCTTATGGAGAATCTTCAATTATAATGAAACACCCTCTAGAGCAAATGGAAAAAATAATACAAAGAACTAAGCTGCCGTTCCAACATGGAACTACCAGCTGGTTAGGTTTAGATCGAAGAGAATTTGCTCGATCTCCGTCTGAAAATGATGGTGTTGGTGCAGACATAAACCAAGATACTTCTGTCAACAACTCTAAAAGTACGTTCATTCCTAACTCTAGAGAAAATATAATCGAAACTTCTCCATCCAAAATAATTAATCCCATTGAAGCGATGCAAGCCGCTAGTTTACGATTCAACTTCCCGTCAGCTACCGCCGTTGCTTCTGGACTTGCACCAATCTCTTCTTTGCACGGAACTCCCAACAGTTTCCACGGAGCTATGGATGGATTTGAACTCTCTTCCCAATCGTTTGAAGCAACAACAGGTAAGCCACATACAACATGTGGAGCATGTTATAAAACATTTGCTTGCAAAAGCGCTCTTGATATACATATCAGAAGCCACACTAAAGAAAGACCATTTAAATGTAAGCTTTGTGACCGAGGTTTTTCCACAAAAGGAAATATGAAACAACATATGATGACTCATAAACTGAATGGAAATGAAAGCAACCAATCTTTCAGTTTTTCTAGTTCTGATGGTTCTTGCTCATCTAACAAATCGCCTGCTTCACATCAGCAGGACGAAAGAGAGGAAATGATGGAAGAGGATGAGATTAACACTGAATATATGTCCTGCGCTAAAAATGATGATTCCATGCTGAAACATGAAAATCAATGGTTTGATAACCAACCAAAAAAGGAATGGTCTGAAAATGGCGTGTCATCAGTCATACAATATCAAAATCAAAAAGATGATTCCAGCTTTTTTTATAATAAAGATAGAGATCAACAAAATTTAACTGATCTTAATAGCTCGGAGTATTTTTTTGAAAAAAAATCAGATTTGATTGAAAATATGGCAGAAAAAATAGAAAAAAGTAATGAAATTTCGTTTGAAAAGAATGACACGGAAAGTGAAAATAATGCCATAGATAACAATATAACGGATACCCAATTATCAGAAAATAATTCGAACATCGTTGAAGCGGATAAAGTTAATTTCTGCGATACCGATAAGACTGATCAAAGTAAACCTCAACCGATTCCACCAGTTAATTCTGGCAATCATGTGAATCTTCGTCATATGTGTCAGTATTGTCAGAAGCCATTCTCAAGTGCCAGTGCACTTCAAATCCACATGCGAACACACACCGGCGACAAACCATTTAAATGCCCAGTTTGTGGCAAAGCGTTCACTACAAAAGGAAATTTGAAAGTCCACATGGGAACTCACATGTGGAATAATGTTCCTTCTAGAAGAGGTAGACGTATGTCAGTAGAAAATATTCCTGGACTTTGTTCTTCACCACCACAGCAAGCTATTCCATTAGTATCCAACGGACAACATCAACATCATCAACAGTCAAACTTGAGTTTGCCAGGTCGTGTAAGTAATTTCTTAAACAGCGGTAACCCTTTTGAGGCTTCGCATAAGCTGAGGAATACATATCTCGGTATGAATCCGATGGTCAACTCTCACACACTGCTTGCGACTTATTATTCAAGGTTCACTCATTCTCAAATTTTAAATAACGTTCCATACAGTGGACCTTCTGCTTTTCAGACAAATCCTGCTCTAAAATTGAATCCATTCCTTCCAAATGTAGATATGTTGGCGGCAATTAAATTTTCGCATCTTTTACAAAAATCCAATAATCCTATCCAAAATCTAAATCGGTTTGAACCCAATCCATTTTCATCATTTGTAAGAAAAATGGAGAACGAAAATAATTGTAATCGGGCAAATTCTCCGCAATCTGATACTCACCATTCCGTTGAATCGTTAGAAGATCAAAAATATATGAAAGAAACTAAAAATACTGGTAGATACGTTCATGAAGAAGGATTAGATTTAAGCACGAGTAAACGAAATCAATATGAATCATCTCCCAATCCTCCATCGCCGTACCAACGCGATCACAAAGAACAAGATCAACTGCCAATCGATTAAACGGTTGCCAAAATGCGCGTTGACTTCAACTTAGTCATAAGACGACGCGCGCTGTTCAGTTATTTAATTATAATATGTCTATAATTTTTTTAAAAACTAGAAACATATTTAATTGCTTAGCTATTTTTACGATGTTTACTTATATATATTTACGAAAATATTCACATTATTTATATATATAAATATATATGATGGAATGTATACAAAATTACATACATTCATTGATTTATTCTAATATTATTTAACCTACAAGTTGTGACCAAACTGTTAGAAATTTATTAGCATTCAGATTGAACTCAGCAAACGTTTTCATTGTTTTAATATAATTCACTAGTCATTAACTATATAAAATGTAAAAATAAATTGTCGAATTAATTGTAGTAAAAGAAAGTTTAATGTGACGCTTGTGTTAATAAAGTGATTCCAATCTAGTTATGTCGCATTAACTTCACAAACAAATAAATAAACGAAATGTTGATGGCAATGACTAAAAGTAGAACGCAATTCTGGCTGACCCAACTCTGCAAACAACAACATCTATTTATTTCTTATCAGTGATCAACAAATTATAAACCATTATAAAACGGTTTAAAAAAATGTAACCAATAAAATTATCAACTGACCTTAAAATCTCCTATTCGAATGACGATTGATCGTTTACGGATATTTCTTTCTACATCATGCTTCCTTTTCATCTCAGCCCTTGTTTGCTGACAAAGGATTTCGACATCTTTCCAGGACATAACTTTTCCCGCTATTTTTTTCATATTTGAAACGTCAGGCATACTACCTAGGTTGTTATTCTTTGAAGCTGTGAACTAAAATTTTTGTTATGTGTTTCTTTCAATAAGTAGAAAAATATAACAAAATAATGAAGACAGTTGTAATAAATAAATAAATAAATGAACAAACAAATAAAGAAATAATTAAAATTACTTTTGAAATAATTATAATTAAAAAGTGAATTTTTCGTACTTGATGAATTTTCATAATTTTCGGTAATTCGCTAGGCTTGTCATCTGGCCACGATTCTAAATCGGTCAATTTCGGAAGAACGACACCTTTGTTGTCAATTTGTTCAATTATTTTTCTGTCACCTCCGTCTAAAATTAAAACATTCGAATTCATGGATGCATTATTGCTGACTTCCTTTGAAGTTTTGTCACAACTTTTTTCATTCACTGACTTGCCATCATCCTCTACACTTAAATCTCTTAATTTGACAATATTCGGCAGTGTTAACCTCCTGATTGTATTTGAAACAAAAGCAAGGCTGCTAAGATCGAGGTTATTTATATTTGGTCTGTCATAATTATAATCCAGATATTGTTTGTTTGTATCATCGGCACCATATTTTTTTAACGTCATTAAGTTTGGATACAGAGGGTTATTTCCTTGCAGGTTTGTATTATCTTGTGTCAGGCTGAAAATTTAATTTCATTATAACTATGAATTATTATTATTATGAATATTAAAAATTAATATTATTCGTATTCCTAAAGATTACCCATTGTTATTGAGGTCGATGTTTTGCTCCTCGCTGTTCAGGTATGAGAACATTTTTTCAATTTCTTGGTTTAACATATTCGTGCTAGACGATGATGCGTGTGGTGAAGAATTGGAGATGGAAGTTAACTTGTCGTTATTTCCATTTAAATTCGACGTCATCTTGTCACTGCTGTTGCGTGAACTTAATTTTAAAGAATTAGGCCTTGCTGGTTTGAATATTTTGTCTCTGGTAGTTTTTTTAATGGAGTTGTTCGTACTTTCAGAAGAGTTGTACATTGAAGTCGGTTGTTGGTTGAGACCATGCTGATTAGAAGATTGTACACTGGTAGCAGGGTTCGTCATCTGGTGCCGTGGAATGGATGGTTTTTTCGTTAATTTTGTTAACCCTGTAAATGTAAGAAAATATGTATGCATCAGGGATTGAAATATTATTTGATAATTTACAATAAATCAAGTTGTTGGCTTACAAGCTTTCAAATATTTGCAGGTTTCAAGCAAAACAAAAGTATGCGATGCAATATACGAAGTCGAGTGTGTACATTTCAACATAAAATGGATATTTAACATTTATTTCTTAATGGTAAATAATGATTGTAGCAAAAAAATATAATATTAAGCAACCCGTAGTTCTTTAAAAAATTAATTCATTAACCTTTTTTAGCCAAATTTTCATTTTCAATTTCAATTTTCTTGATTTCAATTGTCACCATTTTTGCTTTTTCAGCATCGGCCACGGCTCTGTTTTTGACATCTTCAGCCAGCAAAGCTTTGGATCTTGCGCTTTCCATTCTAGAGTCATAACAAATTTTTAATGTTTATAATTTGCAACAATGTTAAGAAATTGGTTTAAACCTTGAGTTAGCAATGTCAGACTTTTGACTCGCGATTTGAGCAGCTTTTTGAGCTGCGGCCACTGAGGATGCTAATTTTTCCTTATCTCTCTTTTTTCTTGCAAGAATTAACCCATTTAACCATTTTTTGTTATGGCTATCTGATAAAAAAATGTCATCTTTGTATTGGCCTCCTTCTTTCTTTCCGTCCGGATAATAAGTCACTCCGTATCCATTTCTTCTGTTGGCCAGCCATTCCCCTTCATATTTCGTTCCGTCGCTTCGTTCGCACACTCCGAATCCATCTCTTCTATCATGTTTCCATTCTCCAGCATATATCTCAAATGTATCTTCATCAATCAGACCAACTCCAAGAAAAAACATCGCATTGTTTAAGTTTTGTCCATCAGAATTATTAATTCTTGAATGTCTCACTGATCCGTTTAATTTTGTATTTTTTTTAGTTTCTTTTGATAATCCTCCGACACTTAATCTACGCTTTTGAGCTTTTTGCTTCAGAGCATCGGAGAGAAACCTGATGGCAGAACGCGAGCGATGCTTGAATGACTCTTTCATTTCATTTTTTACGTACATTTCTTTGAAAGCTGCATTAAATTTACTATTTGCTAAAAAGTGACCAATTTTTGTAGCCTTCATCATATCTGCGTCTAAATGTGACCTCCCAACTTTATCATCTACCTCAGATTGTGGAGTACCCATTGCTGTGACATTGTAACTAGATCTGACGGATGTTAAGGAACTTCTTTTTCCGTGTTCCTGAATGAAACAAGCGTTGGAATATGCTGCACTTTTACGAACTCCATACCCATGTCTCGCTCCTTTTAACCATTGTCCTTGGTAAGTTCCTGCATGTTGAAACAGCAAATTTCTGCATTTAGCAATACAAACAATTTCTAACGGTATGTGTCCATCAATTTATCAAATAGTTTTTTAAATTAATTTTTTCACCTTGATCTGCGTAAGTTTCTAAGCCATAACCATCTTGCAAACCCTGAGTCCATGTTCCTTCGTACCTGGAATATTTATATTGTAAACACAAGTAATTAATCACAACAATACTGAAACATATTTTTATAAACAAACAAACTTAGCTGAAGATTTAGTGCTTTTTCTAACTCCGTATCTGCCCATAGCACCTTGTGTCCATTCACCCATGTATAACCAATGTCCTTTGTTTTCAACTCCCAAGCCATGACGTTTACCTTGCATCCATTGTCCTGCATATCTTTACATTAAAATAAATTTGTTTACATGTAGACACACTAGATAAGTGTCAACATTGGAGGCTGGAGCAAAATTCGGCTCGACATTCGTCAGTTTATCAGATCAAAAATTAAATTCAACCAACTTGTTATCTTTCGCCCAAGTAAAAACTCCGCTAATCTCAAAACCTCCCTGCCACAATCCACTGAACTCCCCTTGGCCCATGGGTCCAGTGCACACACCGAAACCATTTGCCTTGCCCCCGTCACACCCACCCACGTACGACCCTCCATCGTCAAAATCAAACTGGCCTAACTTCACTTCAATCGTTTTCATTCTTTCTTAACTTCCTTCATTAAAATGTTGGTTCGTTTGGAGCGATCTAGTAATCGTTCGATAGATCGATTAGATGGAGAAATCTTGCCATTCACGATTTATTCAACCCGTTCAACCGTTGCCGTCGTAGTAATTGGTGATAACAAACCTTATTAATTCCTAAGTTTTGCGATTGGTAGAAGAAATAAAGTTATTCAATATTAGGAGACCGTATTAAAGAATGCATTTTAATTTTAAACGTTTTAACAAAAGTAAAACTATCCGAAGATGTTAACAAAACACGAAAATGTTTATTTGACTTGTATTTAAAAAAAAAACAAACCCACAATGCACTGAGAAATACTGATATAATATATTCCATCGTTCATTACTTCTCTATTGAACATCGTGAGCTAGCAACGCTATCCTGCTCCACATAAAGTTTTATATTTGTACATGCATGTCTGGAGCAAGGCAAGTTTTAATGAATAATCAACGAAGTTTGTTAGGTATTTGTTATATATGGCGCGCGCGATATTAGAAAAGAATTTTTTTATATTTTATTTTCACCAAATTAAAAGTATTAAAAAATAATTATTCACACAAGATGCGTATATATGCAGATGGTTTAAATAAGTGCCCGTTACTATAATAACTAAACATTTAATATTATTGTAATTTTCATAAGTTTTGGGCACTGTGTATATTCTGAGCGACTCGTCGACCGAAGTTCTGCGTTTACAAAATATTCCACAAATAATTGCTAGAATAAAATTCTATTTCTTTACAGCGTTTATGAACTTTTACAACAATGTTCTTTCTGGGTTTATTATTTTTGTTTCGATTACTAATTCAGTGTATAATAAAGTTTAAAAGAAAACTCTTTTGAACATCCTTTCTACGATAAATAACTATGACCCCAACGTTTTACACTACATTAATATATGTATTATATAAAAATGTTTATATACTAATTTAATATTTTAACTTGCCCAAAATTACCGATCATTCACCAAAAAAACGACAAACTCAACGAAAAATTGGAGGGTCAGATGAAGTGTCGTTCTCAATTTATTAAAATAAACTGCCAAACTCGATGATAATATTTAATGGAACATTTTGAAAATCATATAAGTGGTTTATATACATACATATATATATATATATATATATATATATATATATATATATATATATATATATGTATATATATATACACCATATAGATACACCGTTTATGGTTTTTGTGATATGACTTGAAAAATTTTAAAAACAAAAAACAGTTGAAATCATCTGATCATCTGATCTGACGTTCTTAAGATTGTTCATTTAAATTAGTAAATTATTACTACCTCCTCAAACTCGTTTTTGATTATTTATACAAGCATTAATTTCAGGCTAAGGACCGAAAATTTTATCTCATAAAAACAGAATGAAATTTTTTTTAAGATTAAAAGAAAAAAACATCGCCGTTATAATGAAGAAAGAGAAATAAAAACATATCATCACTTAGGAATTAAAAAAAACATCTGAAAAACGAAAACAAAAAATGAAACATTTAACTGTAATTACAAGAAATCATTGAAATGCGTTGAAGTTTAATCAATCCACAGACTAAACAATTAGAACGGTACACACACAGAGACAGACATGCACGCACACACACAGTAATGAGTAGAAGAAACAGAAGACAACCGAAGAAAATAAAACAAAGAACCAACAGCAGACGACGTCTAACGACATTGCACTATGATTCCTTAATACATTAAAAATAAGTATTATATATAAAATAAATAAATTAATCAATCAATTACTTTATATATATATACTTACTTTACTTTATCTTATATATTTTCCAAAAATCCTTCATCATAACTAGATAACTAAAAACTATCGTCACCGCTTGCTAAAAACAACAACAACAATAATAATAATAATAAGATGTAGAAGAATAAGAATAATGATAAAATTAAAATAACCAAAATCGGAAAAAAATAATAATAATATTAAATGAACGAACGAGTTAACGCTAATAAAAGCTACAGTGAGTGATGTAATGAAACAAAAGTATTAAAAGTCTTGTAAGGTTGATTCAAGCATACAAATGATCACGATCAAACATCGAAATAATATTAGACCTAATAACAAGTACATAAGTACATATACATATACTAAAACTAAATCGCACTGATGATGATTCATTCGGAATCGAAATATGTCCTTATTTGCAGCATGAATTCGGAAAATAAGTTTATTTTGAATTTTAATAAACTAAACGTTCACCAAAAAACTTAAGTGAGAAAAATCGAAAAAACGAACTACAAACATATTAACGCCAAACATTCGTTAAAATTTATAGAATATTGTAATATATATATATATATATATATATATATATATATATATATATATTCTGTAAGTATTTTTTTTATAAATAAGTTAATTAATGTATGTATATATACAATATATAGTTATTGATTTATTCATTTTCCCGCGTTAAAAACCTACTTGAACGTAACGGCCGGCAGTAACGAATGAACTAACGAATGAACTAGGACCAACCTACTGAATACTTCCACTACACTATTAAATGTGGAAATAAGTTGACGGAGAACATGGCTGCCAGTTTATTTTTTCCACTTTAAAATTTTTGTTTTCAGAGGCGCACACAGATGAGGCAAGTACTAGAATAGAGATGTGAGAGGCCTCGCCTGTACTTACCTACCTATCCGCCAGTGTCTCCGTTGAGGATGTCTACTGAAAACATTGTGACTAAAAAAATCAGAAAAGGTTGGTATATAACGGATGTGCTGTACAATGAAGAAGTTTCAAACTGACAACTACATACAGACTATAAACAATAGACCTAATAAACAAATATGTACAATAGCTTATGTATTCATTGGATATATAATTTATCTGCCTTAATAAACATAACCTTGGTAGCAAAATTCGCAGAAAATAAAGTTTATATATACAATGGACTTTAAATTGATTTCAATAAATAATGCTATTCTAGCATGATAAACACTGATATTGTAGACCAATTATTTACACAAAAAAAAATAAAATATTTTGTTATTGAACATAAATCTTTTAAACCTTATCATATTTTGAAATGAGACCTTTCCATAAATCTAATTAACTCAAAGTTAACATTTGCTGCAAACTCTACTGTTATGTGGAGACTACTACTTGTTTGACGACAACAACTGTATTCTCAGCTTTTTATTTTCAGTTATCACTCCAGTGATCAACCTGTGCAACGCGTGGAGTCAGTTTAAGTGGAATCAGTAGCAACTTGACACAAATAGCCCGAACTGTGGAGAGTTATAATATTATTGTACATGCGATGCAGACAGATGGAACCAAAATAAAAACACACACACGCATACACATACAAGCACGCTCTCTTTTATCTTTGTAAAGGTAATTTCGATGAATGAAGAAACGTAAACGGTAGGCATTGATGTATTTATAAGTCCTGCTAATTATCTAAATGAAAGTTAGCGTCGCAATCAGGCAGACAGGCCACAACTCTTAGTTGAAAGTGAAAGCAATACTGAGGTTGATAGCGGGGGTGACACGAATGTTGTGGTTAGATAATGAAAACATGATGAGACTAGTATTTCACAAGTCCGTTGACTCCTATTAGTTCAAGCCACACAGTCACATGAATATTTGAGGTCTCGTTTACAGCATTAATAGTTAATCATTCGCAGCAGATAACAAAAACTTGTTTGACGACAACAATTGTATTCTCAGCTTTTTATTTTCAGTTATCACTCCAGTGATCAACAAGTGCAACGTGTGGAGTCAGTATTAGTGGAATCAGTAGCAACTTGACACAAAATAGCCCGAACCATCTCACAATCTTCAAGTAAGAGAACATATTCAGTTACTTCATTAGAAAGAAAAACAAATGAAGATTAGTGACATTCGGATGAAACAAATAATAATTAAAAGTAAAGAACATTTCGTTGAATATTAGTAATCAAGATGAAAGCTTTCAACTCTGAGGTACATCCCATTATATATACATTCATATATAATATATATATATATATATATATATATATATATATTTACAATATTCTATAAATTCTACCGAATTCTAAACTTTAGTGAGAAAAATCGAAAAAACGAACTACAAACATATTAACGCCAAACATTCGGTAGAATTTATAGAATATTGTAAAAATTACGGTCTATTACCAACATATATATATATATATATATATATATATATATATATATATATATATATATATATATATATATATATGCGGAAATGGAGTGAGAATTTCCGACTTGCTGATGTTTAAACCCGGGATACTGATGAGCCCCATAAGGGACGAAACGCTAATTTAGCCTAGGACGAGTTAGGTGTTCACAAAAATGCACCTTTGGTCGTGGTGATGGATGGCGTACTTTATGTACTCGTATTGGCCAATC